ATATATATACACACACACACACACACACACACACACACACACACACACACACACACAGGTACCTCAGGACTCAAACTTAATCCGTCCAGAACTTGGATTCGAATCTCAAAAAGTTCGAGTTCTGATCGAATTTTCCCCATAAGAAATAATGGAAAACCAATTGGTTCCCAGCCCAAAAAAAATTACACCTAAATGTTTTTTTTTTTTTTTTTAGCATTTAAACACAAAATGAACAGGATAAAACAAGAGCATATACTAAACACATCCAAGCACATTTATCTAAACAGTAATTTGGAAAGAAAGAAAATAAATGTATCCAAACAATGTGTAAAGTTAAAAACACTGTGCCCCAACACTGTACACCATGCATAACATTTTTTTCTTAATGGCTTCCAAAACGATAAGGAATGTACCCCAAACACTACCCCAAGCCATGCCCCAACACTAGACTATGCCAAGTGGTCCATTGTTTATTTTTATCATTACTTTGTATTTGTTAATTTGTTTGTAAATCGCAAACTTTTAGGTTGTAACATTTGTACAGGGATTGCGTAACTTTTTGGTGAGCAATGGCTACCAAAATGATATAAAGTACAGTGTATTACCTGATGGTGATATTTTCAATAAAAAAAGCGAAACGATGCTCACATTGAATGCGAGGCTGAGATTGAAGCGTTACCCTTTGTTTCCACTGAGAGACGTGCCACGTGTACAAGTTCTTAGGTCAACATTCACTGTTCGACTTCTGAGATTCAGATTGAGTTCTAGGTCTTTTTTTTTTTTTTAACTGGTTGGTTTAACTTAAGAAATTCGAGTTCTAATGAGTTCGAGTATATGTATACACACACATATGATATACACATAAATATGTACACACGCAGCATCATTTGCCGTTTCTTACCTCATTGATGTGCTTATATGTCTTGATGAGATCAACCGACAGTTTTCGCAGTGGGGCACTAGCTGGATCTCGGAAGCTTGGGGGGATCCTCCTCTGCAGAATGGTCATGTCTGACAGCACCTGCGGGGAACATGGAACAAAATTACGTAAAACCAGAGAGCACAGAACATTTCATTGTGAGACTTCACAAATGTAGGCTGGACTTATAGCTCTGTGGAGATGACCATAGATAAATGAGGGGTCACCTCATGCTCAAATAGGAAGTCTCCAAGCCTCTAGCTTGACAAGAGGGCAGGCAGCAGGTCTGGGATACAGGAGTCAGCTGATACCTGCTGCTGTTCGGCCATGGAGTGGATGTTGCTAAAGGAGGGGTGGCTGTGCTGGCTCGACATGGTTGGCTCAGCGGGGGAGAAGCCCAAGGCTGCAGGCTGGCAGAGGGAGGAGGAGTGGGGCTTGCATCCTGAGCTGCTTCCACCTGCACGGGACCAGAAGAAGAGAAGGGGCAACATAGATAAATGACCTGCTGACGCGACTATCAAAAGAAAAACCTTGGACATTGATGATGTTCAGTTTATTGCCACATGCCACAAAAAAGTTTTTAAAAATGAAGTGAGCTGAAATGTACCAGCACATGAGCCTTGCAACACAAGCTAGGGTCATTTTCACCCTGCCACCTAAGCATGGTACGGCTTTGAATAAGATGGGTGGGCAAAAACTGGTTCTTAATTGAAAATGGGACTTAGACAACTTCTTCACAATGCATTTTGTAATATTTCTGTCCAGGAAAAACCATCCATCCATCCACCTTCCAACCACTTATCCAACACAAGACTGGGGGGGCTGAAGCAGCATGAGACATTAGGCAGAAAGGATACCAGTCCATTCCAGGGCATCGGCAAGGAGACACATTATAGGCCATTTAGAAATTCCAGCTTTCCCAACTGCATGGAGTTGGACTACAGGAACAGACTAAAGTAACTTGAGGAAAGAGACCATACAAACTTGTTTTATTCCAAATACAGTTAGATGAAAGAGATCACATCACCTAAATTTAAGTTCAGAACAATTTTAAAAAGAGGAGACACCAGCCATGCTAGGTGATCATAGTTTGTATTTAAGAACATAAGAACATATTTGGGCACAGATATCAGCCTCCTCTCTACTGAGGTTGAGATAGACCTCATCCTGGCATCAATGGTTGGCTTAGTATGTTATTTGAAGAGGAAAACAGTTTTGGAAAACTGACATCCTCAAGACCTTTCAAGTATTGTTTCATTGGCACAATGACCGATGGAGAGTACTAAATGCTGATATCTGACATCTTGAAAATGATCAATTGCACAGAAATTAAAGAATACAACAGTGGGAGCAAAACTGTACTAAGACAAAATTAGGCAGCTACATATAACATCTGACCTATGTCATGACTTTCTCCGTCATCAAAATACACAATGAAGATGTTTTTTATTAGACATAAAATAATGAAGTAATGTACACTTCACTTTTCATACTGCTTGCATATCCAGTTATTATAGAGAAATTGCCATTTCTAAGCTAAAAACAACCTTAAGTAGTTAAATAATCTCATTGAAGCCATTCAAAACTGCCCTTTCACAGTGCAAAATGAGATGTCTTACTAAATGTACTATACAAATAAATTGCCATTTCCAATCAGTCACTCTTCAGCTATATGAAGAACCAAACACTGGCATTAAAATGTTTGCATGTACACTGAAGCCACAACTGAATAAAGCTTCCTAAAAACAAAGTTTACGTATTAATTAATTACTGGTGGGAACAAAAAAATTCTTGGTAATTATTAAGGATATGGTTTGAATATGTTTATATTACAAAAACAAAAAATGCTAGAAAAAGCACATTCAGTTTTGGTCACACTTTCAGTAAGATGCTCCTTGAAACAAGAGACGGTTACTGTTACACAAATATAATAATGGTCTGTTCTACATGGGGATAAAGTGTCTTTATTTGAGAAAGATATTTTGCTGCTTTTAAATTTGTAAGTTGTAAAAAATAAACATGAGATTCTGAAGGTTAGGAAGAAAGACTGCAGAATGTCAGAGAAGCAGTGCTCCAAGATGCATATATGTCACACTGTATCTTTAAATCTTGAAGCAAACACACTGAGAACTTCCTGAGTGTGACAACCCTCTTCCTTTTCTACGATTGGCAGAGTCCCACTCCCTCTCTGCCTCTGAATTGGCTGTTGGTATCCAAGGGCTGGGCGGTGAGGTCTCTATAAATAAACTTTGTAGCTTGTGCTGTATCAGCAAGCCATCCCATAAAGCCTTTTCTCATCCACCGTCCTCCCTCTCCCTGTTACCTCTTCCCATCTTTCTCGCTGTCCCTCTCTGTCTCTCTAGCCAAAACACTCTCGCAGAAGTTATGCTAAAGAGGAAATTGTGATATTAAAAAATATGTACAGAAACTGTCACAAAAAGTTGCATTGGCAATAGGTGGGTTTGCATACACAGAATCCAGATTGAATAGGTATAACACAAAGAGGATAATAAATTACACATTTCTAGTAATTAATTAGGCAGAGGACATTACATCTGCCACTTAAAAGCTCTTCCCCCTTAACAGGGACTAAATACAGCTGGCAGCTGCCAGTCAGAGTGTCACCATGGAAACAGGCTTGCAAACTCCCTGTAACCAAGAGACAGGGGAGTCTGTGAGCCTAAGTGTACGTGTGTGGCAAATGCCAACAGCTGAAGCCCCTCCTTATCTGTGTTAGCCCGACGTATATTTCTGGTTATGGCACAGCAAGCACTGGAGGCAGAAAAGCAGACTTGGACACAAGACTTACAGCATAGAAGAATGATAGCATAAAAATGGGGAGTAGCTTAAACAATAGGATGAAAATGAAGACATTTGGCCTTTGGAATCATGCAGTACTTCTCCCCGCAGTATACAATGTCTTCCACTCCCACAGTCTGAATGATGCACTGGCACAATTCATATTCAGGAGAATCCTGAACGAACATCATAATGGATACAACAGAAACATCAAATATGGAAAAAGACATTTCCTGTAAACAAACTGCAAACAGCTACAGTAATGCTGACAGTAAAACAAGTGCGACTGATAAATTTCACTATAAAATTAAGTAAGCTTATGACTGTGAATGAATGTCTCTGTGTACATCGGATCTGCATTTTGTTTTGGGCACATACTCCCATGGTGACAAATAGGTTATATTTTGTTCATGATCAAAAGATGAAGCAACTCAGATTATTTTGTTAGTTTACTGTACTTGTGGTACATGCAAGTGCAACCACATTTAGAAGTGAATGTGCAATTGCAAGCAGGAGTGTAACAGTAGGTCAGCGCATAGGCTCTCAACACATCTGGGTTGGGTCAGGGCTTTGCAGATCAGTTGACTTTGGCTTCTCTTGCTTAACTCTGGAATTAGCATGCCGGTTATGCCAATTCAGAGGGACAGGCACAGTTGGGACAGAAAGTTTTGGTTTGATTATACATTGCCTATTAAGAACTGCACGTGTAACACTATGATTTGTTAGAGAAAAGGCTTTCAGTGCACAATGGCAACCATGCCATATTCTTGAATTGGTTAGACAACATGAAATATCTTAGTATCACAGTGTTCTATTCTGGCAGCAAAATCATTTTACATAGCAGAGGGACTACTTTGGTCCAATTCCTCTTGACCACCCACATGCTGAATGAGCAGAGTGTCTGGCAGTAAATGGAGGAAATCTTCTCAACAGAAGGAGATGAAACACTTCACATCTGACTCGGAGACAGAGTCAAACTGAAGGTGAAAGAGGAAGAAGGATTAGGATGTCAAGTGTCACCAAGTCAAGCACCACAAAACTGTACAACTAGCCCACTGGCATGACTCATTCAACAATACCAGTGTAAGTGTTTCCTCACTAGGAACCAACTGGACCCCTTAAATGAAAACCAATAAAGGACTTTTTTTTAACAATTACTGATGTCTGTGATCAAAAGCGAACCTAGGGGGGCTGATACAACAGCAATAATAATAATAATAATAATAATAATAATAATAATAATAATAATAATCTTCATCATCCTGAACAATCCATTAAATCTTCATTGCCCCTTCATCCTGCACTGAACTTTAGACAGTCATTCACTGAAAGCTGAGTCAGACTTTATGCTATTAATAAAAGCCATCTGGGGCAAGGTCTCAAACAGTGATGCTGGTAAATTGAGAGCTCACAGAAGCCATAAAAATAAAATAAATCCACCAATCAAAATAAGCAGGACGGAGACTGGCAAGAGACTCACACAAATACATTTGTGACCACAAAACTCCTTTACTTGGACTGGAACTAAAATCAAATCAGGGCTAAATGGAAGGTTCACCAACTTTTCTAAGGTAAGGCCAAATGCCTAACCATGTTCAAGGGCACAACTAGGGTGTTTGTATGATCTGTAGAATTAGAGGCTTATTTCAACAACTCACAGGAAAGAAAATTAAGCTGTTTGATACCTAAAAGAATTGACACTCCCCATATGATGTCAATGTCATTAGTTTAAATTACCCGGTTATACAATTACACCCTGCCCCCCCCCCCAAAGATAGCTTTTGTATGGGGAAGGCATTCAGTTTACCATTGCATATTTTCATTAATAGTTATTTTAATTAATAACTCTAGAACTCTACATCCCATTAACTGAAAATACCTTATAGCAGTTATAAATTTATCAAAACCAAATTAATACTTTAAGTGTAGAGATAACTGACAAATTGGAAGCAACAAAATTCAGCATTTACAAATGCCGTAACACTTGTTAAGGAAGACAGAAATAGATGCAGGGAAAGAAAAAAACAAGGGTGCTCAACGTTTAATGTGCTTTCTGTAATACTTTGTGTGTCATGTGTCAGTCTGACCCAGCAAGGCAAAGAAAAGGAAAGGAAAGGAAAATGGTATTTGTCTTTTTGGAGAAATGACAGACATGGATTAGCACTTGGTCTCACAGTTCTAGTACTTTATCTACAACATGCTTTGCTTCAGCTTGCATCACCGGCACTAGCAGTATTTTTACAAGCTCGTATGCACACATTAGTCAGATTTTTTGTACTATGGGGACAGTGTTGTTACTAGGTAGGAAAATCAGTGCTGAACTTCACCACATATCTTAGATTTACTCCTTGACACATACCAAAAGTTACATTATTATACCATTTTAAGGTTGTTATTTTGTCTATACGGAACAAAGTATATTGAAACATACAAAATGATCATAAACCGATGAACACCTCCTTAATCTGAGGGAGTCCGGTGAGGGTATAGTAAAGCGCTGTAAAAGTAAGCAGTGTTAGGAACACAGGCAGTTATCTGCCACGCTTCTTGAATAAAATCTTCTCAAGATATGACTGTCCACAAGACTGTTAATCACAGCTCAGAAACACAGCTCATACATATAAGCAGAAATGACCATAGCAATTTATAGACAACAGCAATGTCGGATATACACGGAGATTAAAGCACAGCATTAGTAAGCATAATAATTTAAGGTAGAACCATCACCAAAATCTATTTAATGGAAGAACTACTTTACCAGTGTTCACACAAAGAGGATTTTACACTAACAATTACTTTGCTTAATCTACAGTAATTTGAAATGATAAGGGAAGAATTAAGGTGATACTTTTGCATATTAAAATCTTGCAAAATCTCTGGTTCTGACAAATCAAAAAAACATCACCATCAGATACATTTAGTGAGTTTTGTTGTTGTGAATATCAGTCAGTTGTTAATCACACTAGAATTTAGAATTAGGTGATCAGTGATCATTGTTGACACACCACAGCACACAATAATGAAATGTGACTGCTGCATTTAACCCATATGTGCCATGATGAGATAGCAGGGGGCAGCTAATTCAGCGCCCAGGGAGCAGTGCTTGGGGGTGGTACCTTGCTCAGGGTACTTCAGGAATGCTTTGCAGGACAGGGATTCGAACCAGCAGTCTTTCAAGTACAAGTGCGCTTCCCTAACCATTTGGCCACCACTGCCCACTACACCTGCATATTCACAAAAATGGTACACTCACTGAAGGATTTTCTATATTACTGGTTTCCTTTTTCGAGTGAAATAAGCTACACAAAGATAGTTGCAAATTGATCTTTGAGTGAATGGGTATTTGCTAAAATCCCACCCACTTAAACTACTTCTGTCAATTGCCTGCAGTGCATTTCCATAAACTGATACAGAATCTAACCCATACAACAGTTTTGAACACAACTCTTGTCCTGTTGACTCTTCACTGGCTTCAAAAGCAAACTCCACTGCTTCATCCACATTTTTAAAGTTATTATTTTCATATAACATTAGAATACCTTCATATTACAGTATTTTAAGCAATGTATTTCAGAGCATTTTAATACAATGTTTAATAAAATTTTTCAATTAAAACAATTACAGTTGTTCAATGCAGATTGACATTTCTGATCCAAATTTATACTTGCAGTAGACTCTTTTACAGGTTTTTTTTTAAATATCCACCTGTATAAATTATTTCTTATTGTTATGTATTATCATTGTTGTTGTAATATGCAAGAGAAACATGGGCAGTGATGGCTTTACATCAGCAAGTCTTCAATGAGTCAGATGTTAAACTTGTTAAACTAACGATGTTAAGCTAAAAAAAAAAATTAAGCTCATATAAAATTTAACCCAGTAAAAATAAGTAGGATGTGTCTAACAAATTGAAGACAAAGGATTAAGAAAACTCATGTTACAAACAATGGGACCATGATATTTTTCTGAGCTACAGTAGACCCTGACTCCAACCAGAAGCTTCGAAAAACAGAAATACACATTACTAAAATTCTCTGGTGAAAGAGAAAGTAGCAGGCATTATGTAACATAGCTGATCATCTGTGCACAGACAGCCAACATCTAATGCCACAATAAAACCAGCTGCAAAAGTAAGCCAGCTTCTAATAGATTTTCATAAAATTAATGATACCAAAGCAAACTGCTGAAAATGAAAATCGTGTCATAAGCTTGAAAAAATAAAAAACTAAATCAAAACATAAAAAAATCTACATTTTTCAAAAACAGAATTTAAAAATTGTTACTAATCCACTTAAAAAGATCAGATAAAATGAATGGGTGGCTGTCATGCTGCTGAAGAGCCATGCAGACAGCAGTGTATCATGCAATGCTCTGACTCAAAGCACATGCAGCTTTTTCTATCCATCTTGCCTCCATTACACGATACGTCATCACTATAAGGTATACACAATTTTAGTACACAACTCAGACACCATGTACTTGTACCAATAATACTTCAATACAGGTTAAGCACTCATTCCCGACCAACACTAGCAAATACTTTCTCCACTTGAACAAGCCTGTCCTACACTTGGAGCCTCTGATTACACTCAGAGTCTATATAGAAATTATAAAGCAACAAACCCCATCTCACATCCTACTGAGACAAACAAAATACCAATGATTCTCAGATGACCCTCAGAATAGCCATATGAAAATACTGCATGGCTAATCTGCTGTAAATCTGTTGCTAAATTCTAGATAAACAGCTATTCAGTGTATGCTATATTGACAAGCTGTCATTTGGTCCAAAGAGTGAGAGGAAATCAGAGGCTAAACCTTCAACCTTTTAATGAAATGTTACAGGTGCCAATACACCTGAATATGAGCACAATAAAAGACATTTTAGTTGTTTTTCCTCATATACCCAATACTTTGACACTAAACTGATCGTAGAGTCATAATAAATTTGAATAAAAGTTCATACTAACTTCGTGATGGCTTCCGGAGCAGGTGTGACTGTGGCAGATACAGATTCTGATCTGGGTTGCCGATCCAGGACTCGGCAGGTAAATTTGCAACCATCCTGTTGGAAGGCTGTGGCTTCTCTTCCACAGTTGAAGTGATCACCATCGGAAACTCTTGTGTTTTGGGCTGTGGCGTCCCAAATATCAGGTAAAATAAAAACTACTGGCTGTGGGTTCCACAAAAAAGAGACACCAAAAAAAAAAAAAAAAAAAAAAAAAAAAAAAAAAAAAAAATCACAGAGGCAGTTTTGTTTCAACCATATAATGATAATCCTTGCCAGCAATCTTCATATATTCTGTGACTTGATATACATCCAGTGACTAATCAAATGTCAGTGAAAAGGCAGGAATATAGGTTTAGTTCTGATTTTCCCCACAGAAAAAAATATTTCTTGATGAGTAACACAATCCTGAAGTAACAGACAGAAGAAGCCAATAAGAAGGCACCAAAAAGCTGTTTCCAAAACAGGCCCCCTTCTGTCCTGGGTAATCCCTTTATTGTTCTTTAATTATATCTAAGGCAATAAAATAGGGTTTCAGGCAACAACGCTTAGACAAAAATATATTATGCTAAACTATGTTATATTTTGTATTTATATTATATATTTGTCTATAAGATATACATGACTATATTTGTGAGTGAAATTATTTGGTTGCTTTAGTCATCATCACAGGCATTACTTCATGCATCACTGTTTCAAGATATCTAAGGGTTTTACTTAAAAATATATAGTTCCACTCAAGCTGTAGGAAAGGGAGGCATGTAGCTGGGTAAAAACAACTGGACCCCCACTTGGTTCCGGACAGTCCAACAGCTGACTAGGAAAAAGGAGCTAAACCTGGAAGTGTTATTGGGCCGGGAGGGGGTCTCAATTTCCAACTTACAACATTTACCCCATCCCTCTCCCTAAAAATAGTAGTAGTGCTTATTAGAATTGGTGCGTATATATATGTATGTATGTGTGTGTATATATATATATATATCCTAATGGAAACTTATACTTCGAAAAGATGCCACTGCACACTAACGTTATTTTTTAAATATTTATATTGTGTATCAATTCTCAGTCTTTTTTTTTTAAATGTTAAAAGACCCCCCCATCCCTTGTTGTCTCCTTGGCGAAACAATTACCCCTTTAACGAAACAGCTATAGTTCAGATACGTCCATCTTATGCGAAAGCCGAACAGAACTGAAAACAAAAATCACAACGTAAAGACTGGTAATTTTTCGTACGATTGACAAGGGATGCGACACGTGCATAAAAAAACAACAAATAACAATACGCAAAGTGCTGTAGTGAAAGATCAGGCACCAAAAAAGTACTTCTGACTTAAATGCAGGGGTGCACCCGACAAAACCTCAAAAATAAGGAAGAGCACAATTGGTTGACCGAGCTTGAGAAACGACCTCTCATTTTTGTTTGGCATTGATAAGGTTAATCTTTCTAACAGCGTTTAAATTATCCGCCCTTCTTATTCAATCTACTAAATGCCAACTTCTTATAGCGATCAGCCAAATTTCCAAACCCACACGTGCGACGATACTGCTTTTTATTCCAGGTTGCCCAGGTCCTTTTTTTCGACCGGTGAGAATAAGGGAAAATGGAAACGTCCCGCACCCTATTACATTTATTTCCGCCACTATCCAAAAGTCATAGGAATTGCTCACTAAGGCCGCTTGTACACATTTTCTTAAACAAAAAACTTCATGAAAAAAGGTCCAGTCCAAAACTTCAGTTCCCTTTTGGAGAATGTACAAAAGCTAGCGGTTTTACTCCATTGGTTTACACTCCACAGAGCCACCACCGTCTATTCTCTGGCAGTCGCTCTGAAGATAGCTTCCGTGTAAGCTGATTAGCTTCTCATTCGCTGTCCTCGTCCCGTTTTACTTCCAAGTGCCAGTTGGGGTTATTTTCCTTTCGTTCTGTCCGATTGAACGGGACCCCGTTATTCCTTCCCCCCCCCCCAAATAAATAAATAAATAAATAAATATATGTGTATATATATATATATATATATATATATTCCTCCGTGATCCGTTCGTTCTTGACCAGCTCTACCTCATACTCACCACTTCACCCGTTCTCTCTCCCTGTTAGCTATTCTCTCTGGCCGGCTCCGGATCCACACCCTGCGATGAGGAATGTTCCAACGATAATCCTAAAGCGGGGGTGTCTCAGACATGGAATATAGGGAGGAGATACTTTATTTGACGCAGCTTTCGCGCATAAATGGATAAATGCGGACTGCTGCACTATCTGAAGTGTGACATAAAGGTGCAAAGCATGTGATATATGTTTATTAAAGTCGATACACATGTATTTCAAATGGCATGAATAATTTCATTTTTAAAACCCTTATCCAAATGGCTACCCCCTTTCTACAATAGTTGTGCCACCGAGCCGGTCCTCTCCATTTATAGTAACCCAGCAGATATACATACTATGTATATATAGACCATGGACTACAATTGCGCGACCCCGATTGCGCGTCCCCATACATATACTCGGGAACCCCTGTCCCAACATGACAGCAATAACAGCTACAACTTCATTTTACAACATGTTCTAACCGCTCAGGTACCTTTACATTTAAACAATGAAAGCGAAAACAACCAAAACAAGTAAATACTGTGCGGATGAGTTATTTTACGTCAAAATAATACATTTCATAAGCAGTATGAATGAGGGATGTCACAATAGTTGGCGCATAAAACGAGTCCAGCACAAAATATCCTTGGTTCTCTATGGAAAGGTTGCGATGCCAGAACAGTGGACATCTAAAACTTCACCATTCAATGACAGAAACCGGTTCGAAAGATTATTTTTTAAGACAAAGGCAATGCCGTTGGTCAGGCGTATACATCTTAGTTTTAATAAAAATTACCTTAAGTAGTAGTAATTTTAAGAATACTGCTAGCATATGTCCTTTAAATTATATTAACTTTAATGTGCTAGAACGCGCACACAGGTTTCTTTCCTCCGCTAACTCCCTCCCCCTCTGCTTTTCAGATCATGAACACCACCCACCCTCTATGTGCGCGATCTCAGACGCTGTTGCTATCCGACGCAACGGCAGCTTATATGCAGTTGGTCAAACAAGGTTCATTGGTAACGTGGATTGGTTAGGTGGGCAAAGTAGGCGGAGAAATGGGAAGCGAATGCCCTGTCCCCTGCTCCTTCCGTCTCTCCCCAACGCAGAGCTACAATGACGTGCCTGAGGAAATGGTGAGGACTTCAGGTAGATACCCGGTAGGGGGGCCGGGGGCGCGGGGGTGAGTGACTCTACAGTAATGCCTTGCACCCCGTTCGCTGAAAATGAAAATTTTAATACCAGTAACTACAAAGTAGATAAACAGTTACACGCACAAACAATCTGTCGACAAAAATGAAGTAAACAAATGGAGTGAAATACATGATTTTGCGCATGTATGTCTCACCTTTCGACTGCACTTTCCTCTACGACGACTCTTCATACGTGAGTGTAGTGCAGAAACTCTTTGAAATCCTCACTGCATCCAACTAGTAATATGGATGAACACTCAATTTTTACACTCTTCAAAATTAACGCCAGGGCATCGGAACGATTTAAAATAAAACCCATTTCATTATATTCAAATAGTAAAAATTAGAAAACCCCGGCAAGTAAAACTGCCTTACGTTTTAATTTAAATGCACCGAATGACTCATTCCTTCTTGTGATACCAATTAATCACAAAGTAAAGCAAACGATAACCCGAATTTTGTACGCCTATATATTTAGTACGACTGTTTAACAAGCACTGAAACAGAAACACAAAATCCTAAGTTTGATCAAACTTTATTCAACATAGATTGAGGAAAGAAAAACAGTAATACATGAATTAAGTAGAAAATGACCCAGAAAAAAAACATTAATGTGCTATTGTTGGTTTCGGGTGTTTCGATAACAGAAGCACAATGTTTCAATTTATGTCAAAAATGTTTAATAAAAGCAGGGATTTCTTTGATCCACCTGAGAACAGCGTTTAAAAATAACGATGTAGGTCATGAAATTGCCTTTTCTGGATCATTTGAGGTTTAATTCAAAATGTAAAAGGAGCTCTGAGTTAATCGTAGATCTCTCAGGAAACTCATCAACATATGGATCAATTTAACACTATATCGGTTATTACTTATTTCAAACGAGATATTACAAACGACTGCAGCAAGTCATTACAGTACACATTTCACGTACGGCACAGGGGTTGTTCCAGCTGCGAGGAAGAAAAAAAAAACACTAAAGCTAAAATAATCTAATTTTCAGTTAATAAAATTCTCGGCACAAGCTGAATCGCAGAACATATGCTGTTCATGGAGAATCCTAACAGGGGCGATTTGATCTATTCGTTTGTTTCTTTTCCCCTACCCTTAATGTACAGAAACTAAGTGGGGGGGGGGGGGGGGTACAAAACGAGGTTAGCCATGGCGTCATTCATGCCTCCATGGCAGTCAGAATGTGCGTAATTCCCTTTAGGAAAAAAGTCAATCATGCACTTCACCGTTGACAGAATTAGTGCCTTGATGCGGGTCTTGGGACAGTATTTATGTATGTACCTTACTTGTACAGTAACATTACTCGCTTCTCACTGATTTGGACCGTTCTCGTTTGCACTTTCCCATTTAAGTAGCACACGGAAAATACAGTACTGAGGTAGGAAATTTCTATTTTGCGATATGTGCGCAAAAGCTGCTGAATGGGAATTAGAGATAGGTGTTGTAATACAGACAAATACGCCTGACATACAAGTTAGATTTTCCAGTGTGAACCATGTGGAATTATTCAAGACCCCACCCCCAGGCACCCTAATATTTAACAAATATTATTCCAGTCCATTTTGGATTTTGTTTGTTTCCCGTTTTCCGTATAGCCTACTTAAAAGTTAGTTGGCTAAGTACTTTCATTCTCCCGCCTCTAGGCGCACCCGAGCACTTTGCGTACAACCAATTGTGTGCAATTTAGACATACAGTGAAAGCGCCGCAGTTCAAAGTAAGAAAAGTCACCTGTCTAATTGCTTTTTTAAAATTAGCGAACACGTTTCCATAAAGCCATATGTTAATTCCTTCATCCGTCCTCGTATTTGGTATTGTACATGAATATATACATATAGGCTACATCACGGTAGAAAATACGACTATTCCAATAAATCACGTTTGCAAAGCTTCCAGACACCCGAGATTAAAAACGCAAGGCGAAGATTCCGGGACTCACGTGCCTCGCAGCAAAATTCCACCCGGCAACTACACACTGTACCATGGCAACAGGGCTGCCATTGGTCTTGCCTGCGTTTTGAAATGACCAATAAGAAGGCCGGCAGTGGCTGATGCGTGTTGCTAGGTAAACATGATGCAGTGGGAAGATATGGTAGTCAAAACGCCACAGAAAAAAGATAGCGAGCGCACGAGGAACGGAGGGGTAACACATCGGCGAATTACAATTACACTGCGGGAAGCTTGCCGGTGTTTTGTTTCAGTGTTGCTAAAGCTGAGGAAGGTTACAGAAATATCTCTGTTATTCCCTATTTCATAATTTTCAAATCTATCGAGCGGAATTACACTATTTTCCAGTCAAAGGATAACTAGAACTAGCAATGAACTTTTTGTAACCAGCATGCTAATGCTAGGAGGCGGGTACGCATCACGTGCGAGGTGCAGCTTCGCTATATTTTCCAACCTTATCTAGGGGCAGAATATCCAAATATATATCATAGCTCTCATAGCCAACACTTTCCATTGGCAAACTGCCTATTCACCGACAGGAGAAACCTGACAACTAAATAAGGTTACACGGCGCAGTATGACCCGGCGGTCCTAGAATTTCTGAAGTAGAGTTGAAATGTCAGAGGAAAAGTATACAATGACGATCATAATTGTAAAATCAAAGACAAAATATACCAACCTATATTAACTAAATCCGGAATTAAAAACAGGAAATTGCGAGCAAAGCAAGCTGACCCAGGGTACACGCATGTTAAACGGATTTAGTATGTAGAATTTAGAATGGCCACAGAGACGTACAAAAGCCCTAAATATACAGGTCCACGTGACTTCGTAGGTATACAAAATTAAAGCAAAGTATTATTTCAACTTTGCAACCTTTAAGTGTCCATTGTTTTGCTTGACAATTTAGATATGACTATTTTCAGATATATTTTCTCTGTACAAAATAATCAGCTAAAGCAATTCCATACCATAGTTAAAATTTAAGTTTCTGTTTTGCATTTCCTTTATTACCACTTGATATAAAATCATGTGCTTAAAAATCAATGAAACAAAATTGTTCACAGGCATATTTTAAAACTACACAAATAAGGCTCAGCTGAAATACTGCATGGAAGTTAAGATCTATCAAAAAACTGAAGTGAATGAATGGGCACAAGTTCAATACTACTAAAGTCTGAGGTTCACCTTTAAATACACACAGGTTCTAGCACAGTATAGAGGTGAACCACAAATTAATAAAGTCTTTCTAAACAAGTTCTATGTTCACAGTCTTACATACGTGGAAATTGCAAAGTACTATAATAAAATTACCCTGAAATATTAAATAGTCAGTCACATGATACTGTCAAGGGAAGCAGATGGTGGTGAGAAAGTCTTGTAAAACAATTTGATTGTTACCCACAACTAAAAGACCACATTTCCATTCAGATCTTACACATTCTTACATCAACCTTATATGCAGTACTGAAAGCTTGTGGGAATTTCTCACTTTTCCTGGGGAGAGAAACTATACAGTCGGTGGAGGCCCACAGTTCTCTGTGTTAGATACATGTCTGTCAGCTTAAGCCTTGATATTGTTGTGAGACTCACAGGAGAATCCTGACTGTTAATCTGCCATGCGGCTTTCACAGTCCCTCCCTCCTGTGCCAGAACAACCTTTCACCTAAAAAAGGGACATGGACAGACAGACAGTGAACAGGGTCTGTGTTGACTTGGCAACAAATGTGGCTCAGATTTAATGAACACATATTATAATATCCTATAGAGCATCATCATCCATATAGGCATGCCTATAAACTATGGAACATTCAAATATGAAAAATATTAGAAGCTATTTTTTTCCCATGATGTCAGCAAGTATTTACCAGGAAAATGCTGAAGGTGTTGACTGTAGTTCAGATATAAACAAAGGAAACAAGGATATTATAAATTATTAAATAACATCAACAATAACAATAAAAAATATATATTTTTATAATAGTTATATTAAAATATCATTAAATAGAAGTAGGTGAGAAATATTGAAAGGTCATATGGTAGATTAAGTGGTGTGATATAGGCCAAAGGTTGAGATGTTGAACGCTGGCAGTCATCTTGGCTGCCTCTAGTGGCCAGAGAAAAAAAAATCTATACACACAAAAGTGTGTGTGTGGGTTTGCATAGATCACAACTGAGGACCAAATTGTCCCCAAAGTGTAGTAAATCTGAAATTTCCCTACTTTTGGGGACATCTATTGAGGTCCCCATTTGGATAACCTCAGTTTTATAAAAAATCTGTGAATGCAATCAAAAAAGTAAAAATGCCAAAGGTCTTGTATTATTAAGGTTAGGGATGGATAGTGGTTAAGGGTGTCGTCATTGGGATTAGGGTTTTTACCCATAGAAATAAATGGACGGTCCCTATTTGGATAGGAAGACCAACTTTTGTGTATGTATGTGTGTGTGTGTGTGGGGGGGGGGGGGGGCGTAGTTCAACTCACATTCACAAATCCAGCAATTAACCAGAGATTAATGCAAAACTTACTACTGCATACTAAATTTAAAATGAACTGTATGCAAACCCTTTAAAATCAATAAAAATGTCATTAATATGTATTTAATTTACACAAGTTCTGCCGAAAGTCAGGTGTAAAGGGAGTAGATATACTGTATGTTAAATCAATTCATAACATGCATTTTCTTCATCTTCAGCCTTAAGGAAATTAATAATATGGACTAGGGATGCACCTATTGCAATTTTCTTGGCCAATC